AATACATCTTAATGAGGTGTGTCCGAATTTTTGGCATCTATTACAATGCATTGGCTTTTGGACATAAGGTCTTACTTGAACACGCTCATAACCGACATTGACATATTCAGGTATTTTATTCAAGGCAAAGGTAAAAAAACACAGTCCAGTTTTCGTTCGCATATTCCCGTCCTTCTTGGTCATACAATGAACGTCCACTACGTCTTGGTCCTTCATGCTCTCAAGAATTTCACTTTCTCCCATCGTCCTCAAATCCCTGTGAAAGATTACTCCCTTACAGGGATTTGGGCCAATGGGAATAGTTACTTTAACTCGAAGATCATGAATTTGCGTCAGCTTAAGTAAATCCTTAATCTGGGAGTTGTATTGTACTTTTACAAGGAGGCTTCCATCTCGCAATTTTTTGACAAAATCAAAGTCGCCGTCCACTTGACCATCAAGGACCTTTTTGATGATAAAGGGGTTCACGTTCAAAAGCGACTGATTTTCATTCACGCATTTTACATTCGCGAACCTTGCATTCTGGGTGGGGATCTTAAAGAGTTGTCGTCTTGTTTTGTCGTTAGTGGGGGTACCATTGTTTATAGTCGAATTAGTCTTAGAAGGGTCGTTAGTTGTCCCCCCTCCTTGAGGAGGAGAAGGGGTAGCCGGGGTATCACTCATACTGGGTATCGGACCAGGTCCGACCCCTTGTCTCACAAATGTTGTCCTGAAGGGATCAAAAACTCTTAACTTTTGGTATCAACCTAACAGCAATAGCTAAGAGATTAAGGCAGTTAAACGTCCTCTACCCTCTCAATGGAAGCCTGGCTGCGTTCTCCAGTACCACAGAGGGATCGAGTTATGTGTGGGACACCTTATCAGAGTTTCGACCACGAGTGTGAAAAAAAGAAGCTCTCCGTCGCCTTCGAATCTTAAAAACTCTATCCCATATATCATGGGGCTCAGATCGCAAAACTCTCCTTCATCTTCATGTTACTTTGATCCTCTCCACTCTTGATTATGGATGCCATATCTACTCCTCTGCCTCAACTTCTCTCCTTGCCCATCTTGATACAATCCATCACTGTGGTCTTCGCTTAGCACTAGGTGCCTTCCGCTCCTCTCCAGTTGAGAGCCTGTACACTGAATCAGGCATACCATCTCTATCTCGACGTCGTGCCCTTCTCTCTCTCCGATGTTATGTTCGATTTCACCAACTTTCCCTCACTAAACTAACTATCCCACAATCCCTACTTCCTACCTTAGCTTCATCTCCATGTTTACTTACACCTTTCTCCACTCGCATGGATACCCTTCTCTCCCATTCCCCTTTCCCCCATCTCCAACCTCTCCCGTTCTCTGTCCATTCCGTCCCTCCATAGCTTATACCTCACCCCCATATTTGCTCTTCTGTTTTCCCCGACCCACCAAAATCAAATATTCCTCCTGCTGTCCTCACCCATTTCCTTGACCATGTCTCCACTCATTCCTCTAGTATTCACGTATATACTGATGGCTCCAAATCCACCTCCGGTACTGGTTTTGCAGTAATCTTTCCAACTCGTACTTTCAAATACTCCCTTCCTCCTGAATCCAGTGTCCTTACTACAGAACTATATGCACTCCTTTTTGCCCTAAAACATATATACTCACTCTCTTCCTCTTTTACAATTTTTACTGACTCCCGTAACTCATTAACTCTCATAAAGTCAATACACACCACCAACGCCCTTGTTTGTAAGATCCAGAACTGGCTGTTCTACCTGTCCACATGGCATAAAACAATCAAATTTTGCTGGGTACCCAGCCATGTTGGAATCCCGGCAATGAACAGGCAGATACACTAGCACGCCACGCCGCTATGTCCACATCATACCAACCACGCTTCTCACGTATCCCAGCCACGGATTATTACCCACACTTTAAGACCTTCTTGTATAACCGATGGCAATCTTTTTGGTCAAGCCTCCGCACTAATATATTACATTCTGTAAAACTATCAATCTCCTCCTGGTCAGCTCCATTTCATGCTTACGCATTGGCCACACCCGTCTAACACACACCTATCTGATGTCACAATCTGATCCACCCCTATGTTCCTTATGTAATGTTCCCCTTTCAATCCCACACATCCTATTGTCGTGCCCACGCTTTGAAGCAGCCCGTACCTCTGCTTTCCCCCACCTATCCTCCCTTCACCGACCTCCCAACCTATCAGACATCCTTACAGAATCCCACACTTTCTGCTTCAACAACCTGTTCTCTTTCCTCAAACGCATACATATCCTTCATCTAATCTAACTCCTTACCACACCCGACCTTAACCCTTTCACTCACCAATTCCTTTGCCCAGCTTAGACAACTAATCAGTAACTCAACCATCCTTCACTAACATTAACTATAGTGCTACATGGCCTTAGATGTCTAGCACATTTATCTTGCTTTTTAGCCATTAACCATTACCTCCAAGTCGCTAATGAATTGGGAAACTATTTCAACCAGGTCAGTAGTAGTTCTCACCTTTCTCCACACTTCTCTTCTATTAAGACCATCAGGGAACGTACCCCCATTATCTTCACCCTATCCTCCGCTGAGTCCTATAATGCTCCTTTTTTCTTCCTCTGAACTCAGTGCTGCCGTACAGTCGTGCCGCAACACTCATGAAGGCCCTGACGGTTTACACTACCGTATGCTCCGGCAACTCCCATCTTCCTCCTTATCTTTCCTATTAACAATTTACAACCACATATGGATATCAGGAAATTTTCCTTCACATTGGCAAGAAGCTCTTATACTCCCCTTCCTAAAACCCAATAAATCGGGTACCCTCCCTCAAGACTATCGGCCCATCGCACTAACTAGCTGTTTGTGCAAACTATTAGAGCGAATGGTGAACTTCCGCTTAATGTGGTATCTTGAATCTCACAATCTTCTCTCTCCTTCCCAGTTTGACTTCCGCCGTGCCCGAAGCACAGCTGACCCCCTTGTTCATTTTGAGACATGTATTACATCTGCACGCCATGAATCCGTACTAGCTATATTCTTTGACCTAGAAAAAAGCATATGATACTACATGGCGGTACCATATTCTACAACAATTGTCCTCTCTAGGCATACGTGGAAACATGGGTGTCTTCATAACGTCTTTCCTCTCCCAACGCACTTTCCAGGTCAAAATTGCCTCTGCCACATCATCCTTCTTTCGAAGGCGTCCCACAAGGCAGTGTGCTCAGTACCACTTTACTCCTTCTTGCTGTTAATGACATTGTTATCACTATATGTTGATGATTTAACCATCTGTCTCTGGCACATCCATACCAAATCTCTGACTGACAAATCTTCAGACTGCAATATCATCAGTATCTTCCTGGGCCACAGGAATAAACGGTCAACCATAATACTATTCTTCATATTAACCCAGCTACCACAGATTAACATTCTGTCCCTTGTAGTTTTTTGTGTATTTTGTTATAAACAGATGGCTCCACATGTGCTCAGCTAGGAAGGAGTCTATTAGTAGGCCCTAGTTACCGATCCTGATTTCCCATTCCTTAAATTGGCGGGTAATTGTGTTTTTCTTTTTAATATAATTGATATCGATACTGTTATTATTGTTATGATTGTTAAATTGTTATTCAAATCTTGGTATCATTTAAGACAATGATATAATATAAAAGACCCTTTCCAAAAGTCAAGAAAAAAAGTAAACAGGTGAGATAGGTAGGACTAATAACGGACTCATTGGTGATTTAGCACTTACAGGTGTAAATACAATAAATTAGCATATGTTACAGTGGGCATGGCATGTATTCTGGTCTTCCGTGCCTACTAGGTTAAGGACAACAGAAGTATATGCCACCAACATATTTATATTTTCTCTAGGGAAACAAGTTTATTAGGGAAAAAAAGTAAGTACACACACACACACACACACACACACACACACACACACACACACACACACACACACACACACACACACACATACACACACACATATATATATCATTGTGAAACAGTTATTAACGCTGGAAAAATGCAGAGCATCTTACATTACTAAATGTTGTTTTCTGATCCAATAAAGAAACAAATATTACTGATGTTTAAATACTAGAATTATTGAATAACTAGAAAAGAAAAAAAAATCAGCATACATGGAAATGCAATGAGATACACTTGAGTGTTTGTTCCAATAGGCTATTCAAGATTTTGTTTAAACTATTACTGTCAATTATGATATACTATAGATGTTTCTATTTTTTAAATTTAACTTAAAATCTGGCCTTTAAGCGTACACAGCGACTCTCCCAGGCAAAGTCTAAAGACCTTGTTCCCTGATGTGTGGCTAGAACGCCCGGCCCACACGAACACTCACGCACGGTATCGAACAAGGTCTATAAATATCCTTGTATCGAGCCTCCCGGCCTCCGCGATTAGTTACTTTTTTGCAGACGCGATTCTCCTATATTGCAATTTTTCGAGATCCTTAATTGTAATTTGTTATGCTGTATCATGTTGACAATATACCGTTTTCATTGAGCAGACTCCATATTATCTCTGCATATAGTTTATCCTCTGTACAAAAATATAATTTACTCGCACTTTATCACAAGAGTACTAGATTCTTCTCGTTGTTTGCACTTCAAAGTATCTGTTCAAGTAGCTTACACAGCGCATGAATAAAGAACGTAATGTAGTTTCCTACAAAAACGCGATTTGGTTTTAAATTATCCGGTCTACATTTGTCATTTGTTATGCTTTATCATATTGGTAATATACTATTTTGTTGTTGAAAAGACTCAATGTTATAACTTCCAAATAGTTTACACTCTGTGCAATACAGGTAATATTGTGTCTGCGTTCTTCGTATTGTAAATTTTCTAAAATAAACATTCACCTATGCTATATCATACAGTAACCGACTGTTTTAGTTGATCACACTTCATATTACATCTCCAAATATATTACATTCTGTTCAATACAAGAAGCATCGTGCTAATGAAGGATAAACAAAGGTGTTTTATTATTATTATATCTATTTTATTATGTATGTACACCATGCACTGTTTTCAAGCGTATGGTAGGCCTAAAAACAATTGTACTGGCACAAGGTCACTTTACAATGGCCGCACATTGTGCGAGTCTCTTTACGCACACCTCAGGCGTAGCAGACTTTACAACACCGATAACATGGGCCAGGTGCTAGCACATGCGTATGCACATGATGTCCACCATGTAGACGGCCCTCTCCCAGGTATGGCCCACAAACGGTACTTTCCACCCTCGTGAACTGGTGGAAATCCGGCAGGATCTCGCGAACGAGCCCCTTCGTCCCTCCCAGTGCTTTGTGCACCAGGAAGGAATTGACGACCGCCGTCTCAATAAGTTTATAAAGGCCATTAGTAATCCACTTGATGTGGCGAGGGAGTCTCACGCCCAGAAGTCATGCTTGGCCTTCGAATACAGCGACATGAGGAGAAGCACCACAAACAGTGCGTTAACTTCCGCCGCTGCAGTCTCAACCCATGCGTTTAACTGAAAACAGAAGAAAAGGGATACAATATTGCTTACGATGAAGGAAACAATCCAGAGAAAAAATATGCAGGTATACAAAAATAAGCAGATGTAAGAAAAATGCTTACCTGTTTGTGCCCCGGACGATGACGTCATCCGGGGCAGTGCCGAAGCAGTGATAGATTTTCGCGGACGAGGAAGAAGCGTCCCAGGTCAGGAACATTAACCCCAGGACCGAACTCTTCGCAGAGTTCGGTTGCCATAACCGCTGAGCGAATGCAGACAGTGGCTCATCGGAGTCAAGATTGGTGTCATGTGACACGTAATCTATATCCGAGTCTGAAAAAAAAACATTATAAACAAAATGAATCTGAAGGTAACTTACCGAAGTGGAAGGCCGAAGATCGTCTAGGGGGGCAACAGAGGAGGATTGCTACAGACAAGTGCTTGCACTTATATATATATATATATATATATATATATATATATATATATATATATATATATATATATATATATATATATATATATATTAGATATTTTTTTCACGGTTCTACGATCCCTACCATTTGCCGCAGCCAATAAAAGCATTCCTAATTCCTTTGAAAAACATCTGACTACGCAATACCCCGATATCCCCCATCACTTCCCACGTCCCCACCCACCATCTCACCTTCCCCCCATCCCCCTCATCCTACTACCTCCATCCCCATCTCCCCTCTCACCTTCCTCCATCACCCTCCCCCTCCCCCTCCCACCTTCCCCCATCCCCCTTACACCTTCCCGATCCCCTCCCAACTTCCCCCATTCTTCTATCTGTCTGTCTCTCTCTCGTTATGAACAAAAACCACCTCTACAGTGGTTTCCCAAGACAGGATATTTCCGTCAGCCACCCTTCGGGCCAATTTTTTCCTGACGGGATGTTCCTATAACCTGCCTCTTATCTACATTTGTTCATGCCGTGATAGTAACTCAACTGCTTCTTTGGTAGTGTGATAAGGCCAGATCAAGCAGAAAGTTATCATAAAGCCTTTATAGAGAAATGAGGTAAAGCAAATTTTAATCCATTATTTTACTAGGAATGTGTACCCCAGACAGGTAAATCAAATCTAGTAAGATATTGATAATCATTTGTGATTTATAGTGAGTGCGATGCAGGGACCATGAGAGGGTTTACTGCTGCCTTGTCAACCATCTGTTTCTTCATACAACGTGCCACAAAACAAGAAAGAATAGTGAAAACATGTCTCACATATGAGAAGCTGGCTACTTTAATTTTATGGCCATCTCATCAGATAGGACACATGTGTCACTTGGTTTCAAGTATATATAAAAAACATATCGATATAAATAAAATTCTAGAACTGTTAGCTTCTCTTGTAGGAATATTTGGGACTCAATAATTAATTAAACACTTTTTGGGTAAATAAAACAGACTTTCAATCAACTATATTTTACATTTAAAATTCTGTAAATTTGTAAATTTTCAACAAATATGGGATTAGATTCAATTCCCGAGTGCAATCACATGATGAATAATACTAGCTTTAATTTTATGAGACAGTCACAGAGAGTTTGTCTTCATATATCCTGTAACTTTCTATCTCAAGTCTTGGATCCTTGTCTGTAAGCTTTGAGGCACTGTAACAGAGGGAAAAAATATGGTTGAGGTATACTTTTTATTTCTTCAATAAAGTATAAAAAAGAAATCATCTAGCAGAAGTATTGCTATGTGATAAAATTAGCTGTGTCAAATGACTTACCTGACAAACTCACGCATTTTTAGAGCATCTGGCATGTGTGCTCATCTATCCTCGCTTGTCGACTGCTGTTGATGGATGGGTTGACAAAAATGCTGGGACAGAAATTCCTGTTTCCATGCCTACCTGCTTCTATTTCTTCTTGATAAAAACACAATTTACCCAAAATGCACTTGCTTCTCTAACATCATAGCAAGCCTGGAACACATATAGACTTTAGAGAAGAAATATATATCTAATATAGATATATATATATCTTATATATATATATAGATATATATATATAATAAGCAATTTATTAATGGATATTACTCACTTTTAGCAAAACTGCACATGCTGAAGAGGTATAAATATCTATTCTAGGACTCTAAAAGAACAAAGAAAAAACATGTAATTTAAGAAACAATTGAAAACCAGAAAACGAAGGAAAAGAAAAGAAGAAGAGAAAGAAGAACAAGAGAGAAAAAAAAGAAAAAAAGAAAAAAAAAGGAACTTAGCATGAGAAAAATTAGGAAGAAAGAGAAAAACAAGAAAAAATATAAGAAACAAAAGTAAAAGAAAAATTAAGGAGAGAAAAAAATAGGAAGAAAAAGAAAAAAGAGGAAAAGAGAAGATAAGATAGAAAAGAGGAATCGAGACAAAATGATACAAGACAAGAAAAGCAAAGAAAAGGAGAGGGAATATGAATGAAAATGAGAATGAGGAGAAAGAGAATGGGGAAAAGGAAATGGAGAAGAAGAGGAAGAGGAGGAGGAGGAGGAAAAAGAGGAAGAAAACTGCAGCCTCACTTTGCCGCTAATTGCCAACCCAACAGAATCTGCTTCATCTTCTAACTTCTTGAGTAAAGCAAACTTCAGAAGCACGTCAACAACTTAAGAAGGAACAGTGTGGGAGTAACAACAGCAAACCAGCATTGGTAAAAAAGCCCAAATGACTGCCAAAGGCAACAGAATGAGGGTGTCAAGAAGATATCCATGGACTCAGCTGTTCAGCGGCAATGCAAAATATGTATAAGTTATATTGTGTTATGAATTTGACCCAAAATCCACTTTGTTAATACAAAGACAGAAGGAAAACCTACAAATCTATTTTAACTATAGTGTTTATTCTGCCAGGGTAGAGTGTACTATCCAAGGAAAAATCCAAGTTTAAATGGATAGTCAATGCACAAAAGAACAAATATCACTAGACAATCGACAGCCTGTTACAAGTATAGCATGACTCATCTCAGTGCAAGGAATCATAGCTAATTGGTCATCTCTCAAATAAGTTCATCATTCCCGGAAACATAATGATGTCACCACTCTGGAAGGAGGCAAAATTTAAAAATACTTCTTAGACATGGAAACTTCATGACACACAAATGTCAGTAAAAAGCACAGTATTGATGATCATATTTTAAAGGAGGAGGAGGAGGAGGAGGAGACGGAGGAGTGAAGAGAGCAGGACGGAGGAGGAGGAGGAGGGAGGAGGAGGAGGAGGAGGGGGGGAGGAGAAGAGGGGAGGAGGCGGAGAAAGGAGGGGAGAGGGGGGGGAGGAGGAGGAGGAGGAGGAGGAGGAGGAGGAGGGAGAGGGGGAGGAGGAGGAGAAGGAGGGAAGAGGGGGGGGGAGGGAAGGAGGAGGAGGAGGAGGAGGAGGGGGAGGAGGAGGAGAGGGAGGGGGAAGTGAAGAAGAAAGACAGCAGGAGGAGGAGGAGGAGGAGGAGGAGGAGGAGGAGGAGAGAGCGAAGAAGGAGAAGGAGGAGGAGAAGAGATAAAGGAGGAGGAGAGGAAAGAAAGGGGAAAGAGGAGAGAGGAGAAGGAAGAGTAGAAGGATGATGATGATCATATTTTAAAGGAGGAGTAAGGAGGGAGGAGGAGAGGAGAAGGAGGAGGAGGAGGAGAAGGATGATGATGATGATGATGAGGGCGGAGGAGGGGTAGGAGGAGGAAAAGAGGAGGAAGAGGAGGAGAAGGAGGAGGAGGAGAGGAGGAGGAGAAGAGGAAAAGGAGAAGAGAGAGAGGAGAGGAGGAAGAGGAGGAGGAGGAGGAGGAGGGAGTAGGAAGAAGAAGGAGAAGGAGGAGAAGGGGAGAAGAGGAGGAGGAGGAGGAGGAGGAGGAGGAGGAGGAGGAGAAGGAGAAGAAGGAGGAGGGAGAGAGAAGAAGGCAGAGGGGGGGGGAAGGAGGAGGAGGAGGAGGAGGAGGAGGAGAGGAGGAGGAGGAAGGAGGAAAATGAGAAGGAGGAGGAGAGGAGAGGATTAATAAGAGAGGAGGAAGAAGGAGGAATGAGGAGGAAGAGGAGGAGGAAGGAGAAGAGGCAGAGGGGGGGAAGCGGAGGAGGAGGAGGAAAAGGAGAAGGAGGAGGAATGAGAGGGAGGAGGAGAAGGAGAAACGAGGAGGAGGAGAAGAAAATAAGAAATGAAAAAGAGGAAAAAAAAAAGAGATCCTCCCCCCTGAAAAAAAAAAAAAAAAAAAAAAAGAAAAAAAATATAAAAGAAAGAAAGGATATATGCTATCAGTACTCAATAAGTTTTGTAGCTACAGGCAAAATAAACATCTCTGTAGGCATCATCAATAAAAACTGTAACAGTCACACTTAGTCTAGACTGAGGAAGCTTGTTGTTGGCTTGCAATAGCGGTTACCACTCTGCTTACTAGTTGGTGACCATTGGCATGATCAGCTGCATCTTCTTGGTTGCAAACTGAGACATTCCTATGGAAAAAAAAGACCTAATTTTGAATCTTCCTTAATGTCCTTCCTATAACAAATGTCACAATTTTGTAATGGTAATCAATAAACTTTACTTTACTGTTAACCAGAAAAATGCAGAAAACTGATTATAGCAAGTTTAAATTTATATTTATCTACCAACATCCCTTTTATCATGATTCTATTCTCATTATACAAATATATTTAATCACAGAAAGTTACAGATTTAAAGACTCAGAATCTAAAGTAATATAATAGATCTGAAACATAATGGAATATGTAAAAAACAAAAAAAAATCATCTAAAAATACAAATGATGAATGACAACCTCCAAGCCATCAAAAATTATGTACTTCGGACAATAAAGGTTCTAAACAGTGAATTATCTATGCCACAATTAGCAAAAAAAGTTAGAAATGGTTTCAAATCTCTCACAGATACTAATAAAATATAAGCCCTTCCTAAAATTCTACTCGTGAAATACGTTAACTTATCATTACATTTTCTTGTGAGATGGTAACAGCTGATTTGAGTGGAAGACCATGACTCTTTCTTCCTGTGAAAGGTGTGGTGGTGACGTGGTTTGCTAGTAGTTATATCCGAATACAACAGAATGGACCAACTATAATAGAAGAAATAAACAATATGGTAAAAACTATGGAAAAGGGAGGGAGGGAGAGGAAAAGAGAGGAGACTCACAGAGAGAGAAACAGAGACAGAGATCCAAAGGGTGAGAGAGAGAGAGAGAGAGAGAGAGGAGAGAGAGAGAGAGAGAGAGATGAGAGATTGAGGAGATGAGAGAGAGAGAGAGAGAGAGAGAGAGGGGGGGGGCAAGAGAGAGAGAGAAAGGAAAAAGAGAGAGAGAGAGAATAGAGAGAGAGAAGAGAGAGAGAGAGAGGAGAGAGAGAGAGAGAGAGACGAGAGAGAGAGAGAGAGAGAGAAGAAAAGGGTGAGAGCGA